GGGTTACTGCTGCCCCGTCCGGTAGCTATTAGGGTTACTGCTGCCCCGTCCGGTAGCTATTAGGGTTACTGCTGCCCCGTCCGGTAGCTATTAGGATTACTGCTGCCGTCGTTAGTACACCGCAGTGAAAACCCTGACTTCATTCTGGTATCAATTCAACATCATAAAGTGGTGAGATGCATTTGACAGTAATGTTTGCAAATTCCCTCCCAGCAGTGGGAAGAAAGGCTGCGGGAACAGCGGAGAACCATTCAGGACAAGAAGAAAATGGCCGGGCGCACCAGTCGGAGCGATCCCCCGAAACCCAAAGGGAAGCCTCCCGCTCCCAAACCCGCCAGCCCCAAGAAGAACCTGAAAGCAAGGAGTGCCCCCAAGAGAACGAACGGGAAAAAAGCATGAGCTAACACTGACCAAGGGAAACCTCCACTTCCTTGCAGCGTGAGGCCGGGCACTGTCGCCGACGGTCTCCGAAGGCCGCGGGGCCCCTCCTTAGCCGCTCGCGGCCGAGCTCTGCGCAGACGCATCTTGCAGCATTTCCCTTAATGATACGCTTCAATTTTTCTTTTTAAGCCACCACGGGCCATAGTGGCAGGATTGTCCTTTGGCAGGGAAGTTGTATTAAAGCTGGTGGGAAAAGCTTACTGAATTCAGAGTAACCTACGTGCATACTGCAGGAGATTTCCGTGTGGGGAAAATAATGCTTTTTGTAATTCGACCTGATATGCGCATTGTAAAATAAATGCCATATTTGAAATAAAACATCTAATTTTTTTAATAATACATTATATTTCCATTTGGCTTCTATTGTTACAATGGTGGTGATGTTTTAAAATGTAATTGAAAGTATATGATGCTTTTAAGGAGGAAAGCCAGAGGAATGAATGTTTATAAGATATTTATATGTTTATTGTCTGCAGAAGGATTTTTGTCTTGAAAGGGAATTTTGAAAAACTGAGGGAAGCGGGATATTGAAAATTGTAATGTGTTTTATACAAAAAGGACTTTTCTGCTCTGTTTTTAGCTAGAAAATCTAAAAACTAAAATAATAATGAAAAATAAATTTTAAAAAAGGCAGACAGACAACTTCTGGATTCTTGTTTTCTGGTTATCATGCATGGTGGAGATGCTCTAATTTCATGATCACAGTGCTTCTCAATACCCTCTAAGCCTGGGGTCCCCAGCCCCACACTGACCATTCCCCATCACTGACATCACCACCTGAGCTGCATTAGATTCTCACAGGAGTGCGAATTCAACTGTCAACCATGCATGCAAGGGATGGAAGCTGTGTGCTCCTCATGGAATCTGATTACCCACCCCCACCCACTGACCCTGGAAAAATTGCCTTCCTTTAGTGATTTCTGGTGACTCAAACGTTGGGGACGGCTGCTCTCAGAATCACCAGAAACAGAGTTTGTCCCACTATGATTTAGGTACTAACTTAGTTGTGTCTTTTAGAAACACAAGAGTGGTGTGGTCATCATCTCATTTCCCAGGACATCTTAGTACTTTGACTATCAACCCTGAGAATTTTCTCCCTGCTAATTGCTGGTGTTGCTTGCTGGTGCTACGCAACCATGGTGAGAAGGCTTGGACTCCAAGGCTTGTCCTGAGGCTGCTGCCACACTTCTGCCCTCTGCCTGGGGAAAAGGAACTGAGCATGGAAGTAGCAGAACAATCTGAAAGCTCTGAATAATTTCTCCTTTATTGTTGTCCCTACTGCTCACAGAATGGGTAAGTTATATGTTGCATTCACACAAGATAATTCAGCGAGTGATTAAATTTCATCTCTATAGTTATTTCGGATGCAGAAGTGAGGGGAGACAGGACATGTTGAGCTAATGAGAAGGCTGGTGCATGCTTCCCACCTCCTTCAGAGAGCTTAACTTTGCCCACATTACTAACCAGGGGCAGTACAGTAAAAGGAACCCAGTAGATCGACCTACTCAGGGTATCAATAAAACAGTGTGTGATCCTGCTGAATTAAAACCAATCCTCTTTGGCCCTTAAACTAAGCCAGGCAGGTGTTTCAGACAACATTCAACCTCCATAATCCTTGGAAAACCCATCATAAGACATTCATAGCATATCTTACTTCCTCAGCACAGTAGAAATTCTTTGGGGGAGGGGAATTGGAAATGGAACTTTCCATGGAAATAGAAGAAAAATAGTTACATGGGGAAAAAAATGTTAAGTGCAAAACTGAATGTAATAAGACTTTGGAATTGCCTTTACAAATTTAAGCAACATTTACTTTGAATATTTAACTGAAATTATATACTGCATATTATATCAAAAACTTAATAAGACACATTTATCAATTTAACGGATAAAAGTTTAAACAGGGTGCTGATTGGTTATCTATCATGAAGAAATGGAAAATGAGCACCAGCCCACACTGAGAGTACCCTGGGCTGCCTGGGAGGCCTTCCAGTGAGCACCAAACATTTGCTTTGCTCACCTAAGTATTTTCTTTACCAAAATGCATGTTAGAAGGGATAAATATAAATATATGAAGAAGAGGACTGAACTTCTGTCTCTGAAATGGGAATTATTTGAGAGATAATTTAATCAGAAAAATAAGTTCTTTGGCAATATTTTGTCAACAAATTTTATAATTGTGGGCAACTAGAGACATTTCTTTTCTAAAACAATTTTGTCGGTCTTTTGCTAACACAATGAACATGTATTCTCTATAAAGCATTCCATAAACGTACAAAAATCAAAAAGAGTGTGATTAAAATCCTCCCTAATCCAGCTCTTCACTACACAGAGGTAAACATTATTAACATTTTGACATATAATTCCCTAGAGATTTCCCACGCATTTATGTAAAAATTAGAAAGGAGGAGTCAACTATATACTGCTTTCTAGTTTGCCTCCTTCACTCAGCTCTTTATGGAGACTAATTTCCAGGTCAAGAAATGATACACCCCATTTATAGTGCCTGCCTTGTATTCCATGGTTAGCATTACTCAACAAATTCGTCTTCACCTGGGTATTTAGGTTGTTTCTTAACTGAATATGATGAATAAGTGAATAAATGTACCCATAGCCAACTGTCTCACCTGTCTCTAAGTAGTCCTTGGAATAGTTCATTTACACAGTGTCGTTGGAGCAAAGAGCATGCTCAACAAGGATATTCTTGATCACGTGGTCAGTTATGTCCCAGAATGCGTGGCGGGCCCAAGGTGTATGAAAGTGCTGACTTCCTAGTCTCTCTCAAAGATTGGTTTTACCTCCCCATATTTTTAATTTTATGCTTGGATAAAATTTGCTGATGACATTCTCAACACTTCCAACAAACTGGGCAGGTGGGGAAATGAGTGAGCACCTCAAAGGGGGTATATTCAGCATAGAATTGGATGGACAGATGAACAATCAGAGAAATAGGTAGAGAGACTTCTTGTCTGCTGCAAAAAGTCTATGTAACCCCCTCAATTTTTTAATGCATCAAATTTAATAATATTATTAATACATAACTAGTTACCTAGAGAAACCAAAGAACTAGAGTGTAGCAGAGCTGCCAATAGATTTCTCTGACCAGCTTCCTTTGAAGAAACATGAGAACTGAGAACTTACATACACAGCCTTAGTTCTTACTTTCCAGTTCTAAATCAGTGTAGTCGGACCACACTGAGGGTTTCCCTTTCTGGATTCCTGCAAGATTGTCTATTTCATCCTTATAACAAAACTTGACTTGTACCAGCTTGAGGGTATTTCTGCTTGGGAGAACCAGTCCTTGTACAAAAAAAGAGGAGCACAATTTCACCATTAGTTTCTACCTGCTACTAACACCAGTTCAAAAGGCAAGAGTGGTTATTTGGAATCATGGAAAGAAAAAGTTGAAGGGGACCTGAGAAGTTATAATCTATCAATAGCTAGTCAGAGAAAGGATATGGGAGGGCTTATCTGATGTCTCCCTCATAGATAAAGATCTGAGTCCTCAGACTTCCTGGATTTTAATTTACCAGGCCAAAGTGCACTGACTTTTTGATAACAAAATCTGGGCTATTAGAGGGTATACCCCCTTATCACCATAGAGAGAGCAATAAAAGAACAATTTTCTGCTTCTGATTATAGCCTGTTGTATCCTAATACTGACCATATTGCCAGGTATAAAATACTTTTTGAAAATACTTTTTGAAAAGTATTTTATCCTTAAGGATGTATTAAGTCATAGCAAAAGTCATGACAACCAAAATTTTCAGTTAATTGTCACCTTTGTGATTTATGTGATAAGAAAGCAAGTTGTGTTCTCTAGATAAATCCAGTATGGGTTAGGATATCTAAATTAACATCAGTACCCCAGAGGAGACAGTTGACCCAGGGTGGCAATAGAATAGGCTTCGTTTTTGTTATTCAAACAATAAAGATAAGCAAAAAGAAAAAGTAAAAGCAAAAGTACCTATAACATCAACCTAACTGACCCAAATGTCGATATTAGCATTCCAGACTTTCTCCCTGCTTTGGTGCCTGAATTTAATGAGGCAATGTGAAAATTTCTCCATGTAAAGAGATACAACTATATGGTTACTTTTCCCAGATGCATCGCATAGATGAATCCGAGTTTATTTTACCAATAACTTGTAAGAACAGACTTTTAAATGTGGTCTTCAAGGCATGCCAGGGAAGGACAGACTTTCATGACACAAAAAATCTTCCACTATTATTGAGTTTTCAAGATCACAAGAATTAGGCATAAGATAGTGCAGGGCATAAATGTTTCCTGTATTCTCTCTAATGAACATGTATTACTTTTAGGATTATAAGATACTGCAAAAGTATTATCAAAGACAAGTATGGCATGTAGTTATGATTTAAAGCCATGTAGACATGCAAATTTGATCCCTCGATCACATGTGTTTTAGCCCGAGTCCTCGGAGAAGCGAACGCCATAACAGAATTAAATGTGCAATATTAATTGCGCATTAATTTCCTCTAATAGGATTCTATTAGAGGAAATACTTGTGAGAGAGAATTGGGAAGGAGCCAGGTAGGGCTGGTAGGATCTCCAGAGCCCAGTGTATGTCCACACTGAGTGAAGTACAGAGGCAAGAGATAAGGAGGGCCGGGTGGAAGCTTCCTTATGGTCTATACATAGACTGCCAGGATGTCTATCTAGGCTCAGGTTAGCAAGGCTACTCGGGAGTCTTGAGCCAAAGTCATTTGTTAAAGGAGTCCTTTTCTTACAGAGATAGATAAAGTCCTGTGGTGCTGAGACACTGAGCAGGAGCAGCCTAGGGCAGGATGGTCTTGCAGCAATGAATTTCAGAATGCAGACCTGGAACCCTGATCACTAATAGCTCCTGCAGCTGGAGGTTGTAATTCACATTCTCATGGCCATCACACTATGACAGTCATAAAATTATTAAAATTTGACCACAATCTATGAAGAAGCAGTAAGCAGTTGCTCTGTTTCTGTCAGTTCCTGTAATTGGCAGCAATACTCTATTTAAATCCCTAAACCCTAAAGACTTTGTGTCTTCATACTTTTTTATGTCTTTTTAACTTCAAGTGTGTTGAAGAGATTATGTGCTGATCGTAGCCACAGATCTTACAGTATTTATTTGCTCTGTTACCTAAGGGAAGTTTTTTTCTACTAGAAAGTAAGAAAATTTTTTAAAGAGGTAATTAATTGGCAGGAAAAGAGCCTATGGTGTACGAT